CCTGACGAAGTCGAATAACTCTAGGAAGGAACAGAAAAACCGCTGTCACGCGTCCGCAATTGCGACCATCGTCGCCATGGAATACATCCGTACAGTAGTGAGGAAGTGTTAAAAAAGACAATTTTAGGTTTTTGCACCGGTCGATGACGTTTTCACTTATAACCCAGACATCCGAGCACTTGATCAAAAGGAAACACTCAGTCATATCGGTGAGCTGATAGCATTTACTGTCTCAATAGTCGATAATTGACCAATATTGATTGATTTCAGTGGATACCCAGGTGGTCGAGATTTCCGAAGGAAAGCGATGGGAGAAACAAACTCTCATTCGATCAACAATAAACAGCGGTTATATGTACATAACTCAGTTCGAGAACAATCCAGGCAATTTTGTAGGTTGCCTTGGTTTTGCGATTTGAATGGAGCTTTGTAGTGTTGTGCATAATTCACCTCACATGGGACCATGGCTGGGATAAGTGTTCCTTTCAAGCTGAATGAACATTTCTTAAGCAAAGAAATCTTGCGACACCTGCACATTTACGGGATATTCGTAGAGTACACGTTTTCTCTTTAGAGGCTTTGTCAATAGGAGATTAAGATTTTGGTCAGATTCCACAGGAATCCCCATCATCGTCGTAGCGTCAGGTATCATCCAGTCCCGGAAAGCCGGAGCTGGATGAATTCTGACCGAGGCACGCTACGGCTGTGAGGGACATTTCTCCTGAAAGACTTTCAACGCCCCTCAGTCAAAGTGGGAGTGAATGCAGGGCACGCCATCGCTGTGATAATCACAACAAGGGGGTCATATTTGACCTCGAGGGAGGGAGGGGGGGGGTCGTAAGCGCAGGGCCCTTTCTGAAGTGAGGGTGCAGCGATACCCAGATGTCGTTCAGCTTCAATGATGAAAGACTTATCCATGTGAAGAACCCCTGAAGAGACACACACAAGAAGCAACCTGCCAGCGCAGAAGTGGGGAACGGGCGATGACAGGAAATACGATGGCCGCCCACAACGACGTCATGAATTAATAAACAGATGAAAATACACTTCCGGACCTTTCTTATCGCTGGAGCACATCTGCTTGTACGGAGGAAGCCCCATCTAGAAGTTGACCTTCCGAATACCTCTGCGTGACAGCCCTTTTCATGGCGCATTACAGAGGTGATGCCAATCGGCGCCCAATGAACTATTTCCTGATACCCTTGGCGAAAACTATGTTTGAGAACCATACTAGAGTCTTAAAACGAATGGAAGTGGTATGGCGTCAGAGGGGTTGGGTTTTCTTGTCGTCCGAAAGGGGTTGCGTCCACATCACAACGGGGTGATTTTTTGGATAGCAGGCCTAGGGATATAATGGAGATCTTGTCAGCAAGAAGTAATCTTCGAAATTCCGGCACTGTTTTTTTTACAATGGCCCTGTATGAAGCTTGTTATGGCTGTTCAAAGCGTTAGAACTTGCAAATGACCCCAAAATGTCACAACGGGATCACAACGGAGAAAACCCCTCGAAAAAAGGTTTTCATAATCGCTCAAACTCAGGTAATAAGTGTCAAACTATGTGGTGCTCCACAGCCCTGCTTTCTCCTCTTCAAAAGCTCCACTCTCAGAGAAGTTATGGGTGTTCAGCGAAGGGTACTTCCCGAGTGTTTGGCTTGGAACTGGATTCGGATCGTGAAATAGCTCGCTCCAATGCCACGGCACAAAGCGTGCTCTAACTCAGCTCTCAACTTTGGATGGCCGCGAACAAATAATATTCAAGTGTTGGCAAATAAATTTTCTATTTTTCTTCTTTTTTATGTGTTACTATGGTTCATTTATTGTTCGTTTATTTTTTGTTTATTTATTTATGATTTACTATGGCTGGTCATTTATTGGTTGTTATTTTTGTTTATTTATTTATGATTTACTATGGCTTATTCTTCGTGCTTCTCACATTTATCCTTGAATACCGTCGCGTCTTCTTTTTGACGTTTATTCTCGCAGATCTTCCTTTATTTGATATTTGTTTGTCCCTGCCAGATTAGCGGCTGACGGGGGGAGGTGGGGAGGGAGGGACCGTATCGAGGCTACTCACTAGAGGGGGAGACGCAATTAACAGAAATTCATCACAACGCAATGGCGTGCTCTGAGTGAATGAACACAACCCTTTTCCGTAGAGAAGGTAGAATTATGCAGCTCAAATGTATATATGGCACTCTTGAAACGCAGAAAATGATGGAAAATAAGGCAAAAATACCTTTACCAGATCAACCTCCACCTCATTCGTCGAGATTGAAGTACGTCTTTTCTCAGGCCTCTATTGAGCAATCCTCTGAAGTGAAGCTTATCCTGGATGTTACATAGTTCGTACTCAAATATTAGTGGTGCGTGTAGGGTTTGAGCATAGCGAGCTTATTGAAGGCACGGTCGCGATAAACTATGTCGATAACCTCTTAAATGTATAAGGTAATTTGGTAGGCAATTAAATACTCAAAATTTGGCGAGCAAAGTACAGGAAATTCAGGCTTTGACTTCTGTTAACCTTCATGCTCGTCCGGTATTCAGGAGTACGTGCACGAAGAAGAGACTCTATATCGAGGGCGATTTTAGATACTTTCCTCTTCATTAGCAATCAACTAGCACATTGCGTTCGTTTTTGGCTGCTGTTACCTACGGACGGCAGAGTTCCTTCATAGTGCGGTTTCCTGGATAGCGAAAATCACAGCCTTCTTTGCGGTAGAACTGTAGAAACCAAAATTTGGCGTGAGTGCCTACCGTATATGTTCATAGCAATAGGTTTCTCTCAAATGGACCGGGTCGATTGATTAAGTTTGAAATCAAGTAAGGCCAGTGCTCATATCGCATTGGTGGATAGCGTTTTACAAAATTTATTTTCATGTGAGCAGACTCGAGATGTTATCTGTACACCCATAAGGACTGTATCCGATGGGAAGATTCTTTCTTCGGACCATACAATCTCCTTGGAACCATTGACGACGGAATTGCTTGGCTGCACCATCAGGGCTGTTGCCCATTCGACGGTAATACGGTCGTTGTTTGGGTTCTCATTCCACCGACCGTGCGTCAAAACTTCGCAAGAGACATGCCATAAGGATGCGACTCCTTGGGCGGTCCAATACACCACGGCAGGATCTACACTCAGCCTCCTTCATGTTGGTCTTGATGGCTCATCCAATACACGACCGGAGGCGTTTATGATCTTGATGTGGTAGGTGTGCCTGTCGTCGTACGGCGCATTGAAGACGGTCTTCGAGTTGGGTTGAGTGTTGATGTCGCGGAAGAAGAGGCGGAGGCATGCTGAACTTTCTTAAAAAATAAATACGACCCCATCCCGAATCTTCTTCTACACGACCCCTTTCACAGCCCTAGCACCTCGAGTTTTTCCGAACCCAGCGGAAGCGGAATGGTATGCAGCGCGTGAAACAGGAAAAATCCACACTCAGGAAAAATTCTTTCAAAGTGAAATGCGACCTATTCCCCGCACTGGCAAAACCTGCCCACAACGATTATGCTTCTGGTGTGAGATACTGTAGTGCTTGCAACATTATGTGACACTTCCGAAAAGACACAACCAGTAGCGTTGCAGCATATAGCGCGCCTTTTGTCATCAATGTCAGAAAATTCGAAATTTGCAGAAACTTATTTTTTCAGTCCTACTTCGCCAACGCCGGAATGCTGTGCAACCACGCAACGAATCAATGGGGAATGATTTCTGGCGAGCAGTACCTTTACAAAATCTGCACGCCAATTGGACATCGACCCTATCCAGGAACGACGTTGTCCTTCATTCGGGACGCCGATCAGACGTTGTTCGTCGATCGCCAGTACAACAATAACGACCTCTCGTGAGCATGTTCTTTTCTCTTTGATTCTTCTCATTCTTTGGTGGGGCCCAATAGATAGACTTTTCTAAGTGGCCTCATCAGTGCAAAAAAAAAACTAGCTGAAGGGACGGTTATTGTGGGCTTTTCATCTGCCCGCGTGGCTCCGGTCGGTAATGCGGCTACTCTCTTCTAGAGTTATGAGAATTTCATTTGAAGTAGACACGTCGTACGCGCCTAGGACAGCTACTGATTGAGTCCGAGACGTAGGCAACCCGTGCCTTAGAAAGGCGGATGGCAAAATAGAACGTTGATACACCTCCTGCTCACTCTGCCATAGCTGGCAATCGTCTGAATACGCGACCGTTGCCTCTTTCACATATGATATGCGGAAACGCCCTTCCATATTCGCGACATGGAATTATTTGGGGGCAGGACGCAAACTATAAAGGATCACATTCCAAGAGGATTGTCAGCTAGGAGCAGTCAAAAGGTTCCATTGTGAATAGAGGGGCTAAAAAAAGGCGCTCCGCCGAGGCACTATTAGTAAAGAATACGCAGCCCAGAGAGAAGACGTGGATCACGAGGTCCAGGGTGGACATACCAAGAATGTTCCTCAATAAGCAGACCAGGCTCGCATCAACAACTTCATGTACACAAAAAAGAAACCAGATCGCCAGCCGAAACTGAGAAGGTCTATAGAATCATGTCACTCCCAAACGGTTGCGATTCCTTAGTACTCGCACGTCACCCATAGCCAGTTACCTGCTGAGCAGCAGGGGTACTCCGATCTGGCAAGCGACCTCCAACATCGAGCAACTCCGGCAAACGTTCGCTACGCCGTCCAGGACTATCATCTTCACCACACTCGCCTAGCGCGCGCGGTTGTTGTCGTTATGGGAACGGAATCTTCCTGGAAGGGTAAGACCGATATATCTCGGTGAATCTCGGACTGAAAAGCGAACGCGGACCGTTACATCCTCCCTACTTCATGTCTGTCACCCATACCCCTTGGAAACTTTTCGCTACTGCTCACAGGATATGGGTCCAGGCGCCAATGGCATTCGAAGGGCGTTGGAAAAAACACATTCGCCATACTTGGGATTGAAGGGCGTGCATGGGTACCTGAAAAGACGGAATATCCAAGATATGTCACCTGTACCCCCTTGATTTAGTGCGGTCTGGGCCCAGCACTTCAAACAGTTGGTCTAAGGACGGAGAACATTAACGACCTGCGAAACTCAGGGCCATCGGAGGTTCACGGCTCGCCGTAGCAGAATCTGTCGACTGTTGTTCGGTCCAGGAAGGCTGCGGCGGAGTTTCGTGTCTCGTGTCCACAATGTGCCATTGGATATTGTTTGCGTGATATAGATCAATCAGTAAAATGTAACTTATTTGCGCGTGCTGCAAAGTCGCAAGGAGAAAAAGTGTCTCCCCACTGCAGTAGGAAATAAGTTGATTTTGTGGAATACACTGCCTCAAACATTCATTTAGGTCAACCCGTTAACTTCTCTATTCACAGATGCAGCAGCTTGCTAAATGTAACTTCCAACTTTAGAGAACTTCGCGACATTCTGAATCGCGTTCCAGACATCGCTCTCGTCATCTACGGTAGTTCTGCGTGGAACGGCTTCCACACGTTCTTCCTTCCAAATGACAAGGCATTCGCTAAGGTGTGCTGAGAGCCTAATGCATTCCTGATAGGTATATTGCATTCCTTGCGTAGGTACTGTTTTTAGGTAATTACGATCGACAGACGCATTGACCGCGAAGTACTGCTGGCGCATGTGACTGGGATGAATCGGGTACTGTTCACATACGCATGGATGTACGATGGTGGTATCCACTACTACCCATCTGTTAGGTAATATTTTTAGGTCGCTCAATAATCAAAAAGCTCTTTGAAGTTGTTTTATAACGATAGCACTATCTAACGTCGCAAATCACCCTCGAAGGATGTCACCAGAAATCGATTGAGTTATGGGCAAAAAGTCTGATATGATCAGGCAGGTCACCAGACGCGCACGTGCCCTGCCTGACGCTTTCCGGGCGAGTGCAGTCCGTTGCTGCAAGTATCCTGGTGGCGTAAAGGATAGCGTGAGCAAGGGCACATCATCGGTCGAAGACTTTTCTGACATACTCTCCCTCCCTCCCCGCGGGGGGACAAGTACTTATGATATGCGAAACAGAAAAAACAGCGGGAATCCGCGAAAAATCAACGACCTCTCCCAGAAGGCCAGCAGGCAAGTACGACGTCCTGTTCTTCCACCAACGAGCAAATACGACCTCCCCCTTTTTATGGTGTCCCTGAAACGAGAAAAATCGACTGTCACAAACATTTTTTTTCTCTGACCAAGTACGACTCCCCTCTCCCAGCGATCAAATACCGCCCCCTCCCCCTGTTGGGGACTTCCCAAGGTGCGGGTTCGGGATCTGCCTGCCGTCAAGATTCTAGCCCATATTTCAGCATTCTTGTGATAGTAGAAAAACACTTCGAATCTGACTCCAAATGCGTGGCCTGCTGCTGGGGCGTAGGAGAGGAATCTTGAACATTTTCTTCCGAAGTGAACGCAACAAGGAGGAAGCCTACAGGTGAAATGAGCGTACAACGTATGTGACATAATTGGCCAAATGGCGGTAGATGTAGTAGTCAGTGGCCGCGATCATGGTGCGATTCCCTCGAGCCAGCTTCCCATCAGCTTGAACACGCTAACTAGAGAACAGGCAAAGTAAGCTTGACGAAAAATACACTTGCGAGCGAATACCATCACCAAGCAGGTGTTTATGCTCATCGATGAGCACGACATTCGTCTATTCTAGGCGTATTTGCCACGCGGCCGCGGACTTGCCCACCTTGTGCACATGGGAACGCAGCCCCTCAGATAATTGTATTAGGTTGTCCGGAAAGTTCTCAGCGTTTTGAGTGTTTCACTTTAAACGATCATAACTTTCTTAATACTCATCGGATTTAATCGAAATAAGCACCGTTCGAATCAGCACACTTTTGCCAATGTGACACCAGTCGAAATCCCATCAAAGAAAAAACTGGGTGGTCGAGAATCCACGAAATCCACGAAGGCTTTTTTGCCTGGTCCTGATTGATGAAGTATTTTCCAGCAAGGAAGTTCTGAAAATGTTGTTTGAAAAGGTGATAGTCGCGTTGGTGAAAAGGTTCTGGAGGAATATGGTGTGGTAAAACTTCAACCCCCAATTCGTTCAATTTATGGATAGTGATTTGTGAAACATGTGGGCGTTGTCATGCAAAAGAATCGGACCCTTTCTTTTGATAAGTGTTGGCTGCATCTGACAAAATTTTCGGTACAATTCGTCGATTTCTTCACAGTAGGGTTCTGCTGTGATGGTTTGGCCTGGTGTGAAAAAAGTGTGGATCACACCAGCCGATGACCACCACACTGTGACCATAATTTTTTTCGTGAGGATTCGGCTTTGGAAATTGCCTCGGTGGTTCGTCGGCATCCAACCACTGTCCGGAACGTCTCCTGTTATCATACATGATCCACTTTTCATCACAGGTGACAATTCGGTCCAAAAACGTCGTTTCTGTTGCGCAAAAGCAGTGAAGAAGAACCTCGAGAACTTGCCATTTCTGCCGGTCACTGAACATTGTTGGGGCCACCTACTTGTCGCAGTCTCTTTCACCTTCCAGAAGTCGTTCAGACCATCTGCAACAGTGGATTTGCCATTAAGGCCTAGCTTTTCTGCAATCTCTCGAACTGTTTGGGATGGGTCAGCCTCCAAAATCCCCTTAAAATCCTCGTCAGATATTGCTTTAGGTCGACCGCTATGAGGTTCATCTTCAAGGCTGAAATCTCCAGAACGAAATTTGTCGAAACCATTGTCGCACGGTGCTTTCTCCAACACTATTGGGCCCCCACACCTGGTTAATTTGTCGAGCTGTCTCGACTGCGGATTGACCCAATTTGTAGTTGAAGAAAAATATCGTCCAAGTTGCTCTTTTGACATGCTTCAAAAAGTCTTGGGAAAAGTCAGGGTTTGACCAAGCAATCGTGAACGGCAATTATACCCATCAGATAGCGCAAAAATTCTCTTCAGGATGTACTACTGAGACGCAAGGGAGAATGAGTTTTAATCAGCAATGAATGTACAAAAATAGTAACACAAAACGCTGAGAACTTTCCGGACAACCTAATAGAATGCATACGAAGAGACTGCGCAGATTAGCGTGGAATGTGTCTCGAAGATAGTTTACCGCGATAAAGTGTCATGCGGATTTCAATTATGAAACAGTAGCTGATAAGTAATTCCCCAAAGAAGAAAAAAAGCAAGAAGAGTCCTCAAGAACCATAAACAAAATCGCTCCCTGACAGTCACACCTCCCTGCGGTCTCTGTGCAACCCCTGGCTCACAAATTCATTATCTCCCAGTAGTAGATATCATCCAGTGCAAAGAAAACACCAACAGAGAACTTCTGACAAAAAGAAACTTTCAAAAACTTGGCGTACGAACTTAGGGTTACGGTAGCGCCCATCTTTTAGTGCCGAGCTTTTGCACCATGAAAATTGCATCACTCGTGATTTTTACGCGTTTTACCTTGCGAGATGGGTTGCAGTTGACTGTATGTGCTCCTAATGAATAAAATGTAATAAAGGAGAGCAGAATTATTATGGGCACGAGCGCGGTCAGCAAAAAAACATGCAATTCCGATTAATGCCCGCCGCCCCAACAAAGAACAACTGAGCGGCCCTCCGTCAGAGGGCATCTAGCAAGTGGGCGGTCCAACTGGAGCGGGCGTTAGAACTAGAACTTTCAGCGGCTGTAGCTCGCTCCTCGCTCGCTGTGGAGTCGCGAGAGTGGGACAGTCTTCTAGCTTGGGGGCTGGACTACTTGCACAAGGAAGGGCCATGATTTACTTGAGCGCGGGGCTGTCTTTAAGGACGAAACATGAGAGCGGGCATGGGTTCTGATGTGTGTGCAACCCTAGCAAATCAATTAGTATAAAAAATAGCTAAAAATATTCATCGACTGTTGCAATTAAATGTTCAGATTCTCTTCGAATATCATCGAAGACAACTTCAAGCTGAAGTTATCGATGCGAAACATCACAGATCGACGGACAGGACGATGGGATCGTAAGTTGACTCGATTTCGCACGCCTTTCATCCCAGTGCACATCATCGGGATGGGGGGGGGAGGGTTTAAGTATTTCACCTTTTCGCAGCGACTAAAGTATAATGAAATGTCCTATTCCACCCTCTGGCCCACCTGGCTTACTTCGTACGTAGTGCGTATACCTGTTTGATTGGCTCTATCGGCTGATGCTCATTCCTTACCTCTGCTTTCCGATCAAGTACAAGCGGGAAACCTGATTAAAGGCACATTCCGCGATCACAAGTGGCGTCTAGTGGGGTCCAAACATGATTTATAGGTGCTAATTGGTGGCTGTAGCAAAAAGAGGACGTAGGGAACTGTAAGAAGAGCCACGCTGGGTGAGCACGCTGTGAAAAGAGACGCAGAGACACTCTGTAGAACCAC